ATGAGAAATTCCCCGCAACCTGTATCTAATGTGTGTATCTCATGAATACTATTCCAATCTACTGGGCATTTTTATCTGTGGATTGTCAAGAAGGTGGATTCCCCTTAGCTGTATTGACTAATTGATATTTAAAATGTTAGCCTATACAGAGTTGTTTTGTTTGTTTTTGTTCTAGTTTTTTAAGAAAAAGCCCATGTTTAATGGATATGGTGCTCCTGGATGGCCTTCCAGCCCCCCAGAGAGGAGACGGGAAGGGGAGACCAGAAAAACCAGGAGTATATGTTCTCTGGGAGGCAGTTTAAATAATCTGTGGGAGTAGTCTTGAGCATCTCTGGGGGAGGTGCCATGATTTGGCAGGCTTTCTGAGATGCAGTAGGGGAGGGAGGCTTGGGTGGAACCTCCACCATAATATCCCAGATTCTTTGGGTATATGGATGCCAGGGGCTGGGGTGAAGGTTCCACCTTAACATCCCGGACTCTTTGGGTACGTGGATACCAGTTCATATCTGGCTTCTTCCTGCTGACAAGGGATGGTGTGAGGGAGGCAGAGAGTCAGGGGTTGGTAGGTTCACGCTCAGTGGAAGGTGTGGGTGAAGAAGCATCTGGTTATCTGCCATCCTAGAAACCTCAGGCACCTGTTCCTTGAGGTGGACAAGACAGGCTGCTAGGAGAAAAAATAGATTGTTATCATTGGCTCTAATTGTACTGACAGAGGTGAATGTGTCAGGAAAAAGAGCAAATAGGCCCTTCATTGTGGCATCTTGGAAAACCAGAGGGTGGAGGGTCCCAGCTGCTAGACAGACCAAGTATCCTGAAGAGGTTCCTACTTGAGCCTGGAGAGGTGGTACCAGGATGAATGTCCTTGGAGCTTGGCAGCCGAGAGGGTGGTAAGGATCACAGTGTGGGGTCCTGTCCATCAGGTGAGAGACTTAGGAGTAAGCTGTTTGAGGAGCACCCTGTCCCCTGGTGAGAGCGGGCAGGCTCAGGGGCAGTTTGGTCCAAAGGCATGGGAGCAGGGAGATAGCTGTCAGCATGTGAACAAAGAAGGGACCGCAGAAGGGAGAGATAGGACAGGCACCCAGCCAGTGGAGGAGTATGGGTTGGGAGGTGGTGAATGAGGAGGAAGGGCCTTCCATAAAGGAGCTCAAAAGGGCTTGGGCCTGTGGGAGAACATGGGGTAGCCCGAAGGCGGCAGGTAAGGGCAATGGGGAGAAGGGAGGGCCAAGATAACATGAGTTCCATGGAGAACTTGATTAGTTGTTGTTTGGTGAGTCCATTGGCCCTTTCTACCTTTCCTGAGGACTGTGGACCATAGGGGATGTGGAGCTTCCAGGAAATGTTGAGAGCTTCTGACATGAGCTCTATGACCCTGGAAGTGAAGGTTGTCCACTGTCTGTTTGGGTGGTCTGTGGCACACCAAACCGAGGGATGATGTGATCTAAGAGTACCTGGCACTCACTCTGGAGACCAAGCTGGCCTTGAACTCACAGAGATCCGCCTGCCTCTGCCTCCTGAGTGCTGGGATTAAAGACGTGTGTCACCAATGCGGTACAGTGTTTTTTATGAGTGAGCATGTGAGTGAAATCTACCTGCCAATCCTTGCCTGGCTGATGTCTATGAAGCTGGTGCAGAGGCAGCTGTATATGGAGGGCCCCCTGTGGATTAGTCTTAGCACAGGTCTGACAGGAGGAGTGAACCTATGAAATATAAGCTCCAAGATGAGTGGGGTCGAAGAGGGGCTTTCGGAAATGGAACAAAGCTTTAGGGCCTATGTGTAAGGTCTGGTGGATGTCTGAAATGATAGATAGTGCTTGGTCCTGAGGAAAGATGTGGTGGTTGAGAAGAACCAGCCATCCTTTGTTTGTGTGGTCCCCCTTTTTAAGAGTTTATCCATCTCTTCTGGTTGATAACAGGGCTGATAAGAGGGTGTCAAAAACAAAATCTGTTCTGTTGATCCAGAGGAGCTGGAGGCCAGTCCCTGGGCTACTGAGCCAGCCTTGGCATTGGCTAAGGCTACTGGGTCCTTGGAGGACTGGTGTCCCCAGCAGTGAATTATGGCTACCTCTGCTGGGAGCTGGAGGGCCTCCAAGAGCTTGGCTATAAGGAGTCCATTAACTATAGGTGTGCTCTTGGTAGTGAGGAATCCCCTTTCCTTCCAGAGAACAGAATGAGTATGGGCTATTAAAAAGGCATATTTAGAGTCAGTATAGATATTAGCATGTTGATCCTTGGCTATTTGGAGTGCTCTAGTCAAGGGGATTAATTCGGCCTCTTGTGAAGAGGTTATCATTGGCAGACCAGTTGCTTCAACCATTTTCATGGAAATGACCACTGCATACGCCCACTGGCAGTTTCTTATCTATTTATAAGAGAACTTCTGTCAACAAAGAGGGTAAGTTGGGGGTTTGTGAGCAGTTGGTCTAGGAGACCAGGCGGGGGTGA